GGCTCGGGCTGAGGGGGCGCGGGCGGGGAGCTCTCCCGCGGCGGGAGCGGGGGCCGCGGCCGCAGGGCGGTGTCGGGGCCCCGCGGTGCGTGCGGTGTCTCGGTGTGCGGGCACCGCGCCGGGAGGGCTGCGGGCTGCGGGGGACGGGCTCCCGCTGCGCTCGGGGAGCGCCTTCACTGCGGCCGGGGCGGCTGCACGGCGGGGCTCRACTGCTCTTCCAGCCGGCGGGGAAGGCCGCCTCCTGGGCCGAGCCTCGGCACTCAGACGCGGTGATGCTGGCGACAGCAGTGCCACCTGCAAATCGCCCGTTCGGGGCTGCTGCTTCGCGGGGAGAAGAGCCCTGCAGAGCTGCTTTTACTGTCTGTACAATATCCCATACAGAACCCGAGCAGCAGCTAGGATTTAGGATTTCACACACGATGCTCAGTTCTAAATCTTGATTTTAAATTTTTAAAAATTTATTTATTTTTTAAAGAAKAAGATGAAGAAAAACATGCACTTAAAACAGACCTAAAACACATTTTGCCTCATAGAGAGCCAACAAGAGGGCTGAAAATCAAAAGGACAGCAGACAGAGGAGTATGTCTGAGGAGTATCAGCTCCAGAAGTCAAAATGAGGTCACCTGACAAAGGAATTTTCATGATGCCTGTGGGGAAATAGACAGGATGTGTAGCAAGACAGAGCTATCCATCCACCTGAATTCTGCATTGAGCAAGGCGTTTCCTACCCTAACACTTGTATTTCATACTGCCACTAGCAAAGCTGAAAAGAGAGCAGGATGTCTGCTTTGCCAGCAGAAAGGCTCCTGTCACTGCCCTGTCCCAGGCRGGGATACTGTGCTGGTGCTGCTCCTGCTGGGGTTGGTCAGTGCCCAGCAGCTGAGCAGGAAGGAATGGACAAACCAGTGAGTTGTGCCTGCTATCTGGGTACACTTTTGCCAGAGCACTGCCTCTCATCATCTCTGATTGTTTTCTAATGTCTTCTGGGGTTTGAACTACTGGGGAACTGTAAAAGTAGTTTTTAAGGCTGTCTCMGGTACATAATCTCAGTCTTTTTTTCTTCCCTAGAAAGCAGAGATAGGTTATGTTGTATCATAGTAGGGTAGTTGGGTATTTGCCCGGCAGCTAGGAATACAGAGTATTAGAAAGTAATTTTCAGGTTTTCTAATACTTAAATACCTAAAGTATGCAGGAAATGAGACAAGTCKTTTCATTGTTGTTGAGGAACTGAGAAAATACCCATCTGTTATGATGATTTGGGCTCTTTRTGCTTTCTGATGTGCAGACAGATAACATCCTATACCAATACATTTGCAGAGGAACAGGCTTGTACGTTTTCTCAGACACAAGTCTCTCTACATATTTTGACATCTGTGTCTCAACATCTTAATGTGTGTTTGGTTTTTTTAGTTCATTTACTGGATTTAATTAAATAGTAAATCACCAACACTTTTGTTTCTTTGCAGGTTTTTTGATCATAGTGAATAAACAGAGGTTTGTTTTGTCTCTGTTTCAGTTTGAGAATATAGAATATGACTTGAATGTTTGAATTGCTTTATTACAAATGAAAATAAATTCTTAAGAATTCCTGAGCACTCTATTTTCAGTAACAGGAGTTCTGAGAAGAGGAACCTTGTCCATTCTGTCAGACCAAGATGATTAATAACCTATGGATATTTTACTGACTAGATTTAGTCCCCAGAAGTATTTTTGTAGTGTACACTTGGTAAACTTTACCAAAAACTTCAAGTTAAAGCAAAACCTTTAATTGTTAAGATTTTCTGGGTTGAAAATATTTCATGGCTAGATGAAAAATTATGTATGTGCGTAATACAATATGTCATATATAATATTTTCCAGAAAATGTTCCTGGTTTAGTGGCAGGGATTCTTACAACCTGAGAAGGAAGGCGTGCGTTTGTGTCACTGTGACATTAAAGCTGCAATGGAAAGTGATTGTATAGAAAAAGTATGATGTCTGCTTCTGTAGGTAGGCTGTAATACACCAAATAAATAATTCCATTAACAGGAGGGCTGCTTTGATACCATGGAAGGGGCACTTCTTGCAGCCATGCAGCAGAGTTTGGAGTGCAGCAGAGGTGCCTGTGTTAAATTGCAGTGAATGGCTGCTTCTGAGACCTGCTGAGACAACATGGTTCCTAAGGACTGCCATTTCCAGTCTCAGGTTTTCATTCACCTGTTAAAACATTAGAATGTGTTTTGCATTGGATGCTTTTCTAAAACATGGTGGTTTATAGCACCTACTGAATTGTTTTGTTGAGTTTATTAGGTTATGGTAAGTTTTTCTTTGAACAAGGTGGCTATGAAGCATTTTATTACATTGTGTGACTCCTAAAACTTGAACCATAACAATTTTTTCTCTGTTTTCTCAGCTGTAAAGGACCCTACCGCTGTAGAAAGAGCAAATTTACTGAACATGGCTAAATTGAGTATCAAAGGACTCATTGAATCAGCCTTGAGCTTTGGCCGCACTCTGGATTCTGACTACCCACCTTTGCAGCAGTTCTTTGTTGTCATGGAGCACTGCCTGAAGCACGGCCTGAAAGGTGTGGTAATTGGTCCAGCTGCATATTTGTCATCCCAAACATGTCATTTTTCTTCCTTTCTTACTTGAAGTAGATAAAAAAAATATGCCATTTTGAATGAAGAATTGAAAAAAATATATAAATGGTCACCTTTTATCATGAACRGTGTAATTATTAATTCTTCACCACATATATTTCCACATTTACCAACTTGTCCTTTTRAGCATCATTGGTTGTAAGTGGTCCAGGGATTACCATCTATATCTGCATGTATCTCTGTAGTGTACATTTTTAGCTGAACATCCTTTTTATATTAACTTTTTCTAGCACATGAATTTTATATTCACAGCAAAGTAATTTGGAAGTTTGGATATTGGATTGTTTGGATACTGGTGAACTGACCAGTGTCTCAGTTAAGAGTTACCTGGGAGTCTGGACTCAGTAGTTAACCCTTTCACACACCAGCTATTTTGAAGTAAGCTCCTGTAGTAATTCCAATTAATTCAGTTACCTAATTTTTCTTTCCATAGTAAGAAAATCCTTTCTAAGTTACAATAAAACCATCTGGGGTCCTCTGGAACTTGTGGAGAAATTATATCCAGAAGCTGAGGAAATAGCAGCAAGTGTCAGAGATTTACCTGGCCTAAAGTAAGTATTGGTAAAATGCAGCAGGAAGATAAAGGACCTGAGTGAGAATTTGCWGGTGTCTCATGATTTCATTTGACAATAATCAAGCCTTTGAACAGCYAGGTCATGATGTTGGGAAGAGCACAGGTGAATGGGAGGTGGATAACAACAATGCAAAAAGAAGCAGGGTGTGTATCAGTCATTCTGCAATCTGGAACTGCAKCAAACATTAGTGAGTGTAGTCAGCAGAGGCTGGATAAACCCAAAAGGTGACATAACAAAGAGGAAAGGATGAGGCAGCTTTTCAGAGTCCTACTCAGATGTAAATACGTTTTCCTCCCATTCCACTGCACTCTGCCTTTGTGTTTAGCTTTRTAATTGGCTGTACATTAAATTCCARAAGGGCTTGGTTACACATTGATTGGTATATGGCAGCATAAGGGTTCTAATTTATAGCTTTGGACCTTATGTAAAGCACATAAGCTGTGCATAAATTATTATTTACTCTCRTGGCAGGCCAGAGGAAATAATAACCTTTACTAAGGTTGCTTTCTTCCTACCCTAATATRCCTTGTGAGGTTGCTTTAATTTTATTTATGTTCTTAAAACCTGTAAGTATGCATGCACTAGAAGAGGAAGTTCTTAAGTACAGGTTTAGTTTGCTTGACATTAGTGCTTGCCAGTTAGATCTGTTTTCATCTCTTTTTGCATTGTCTTCCTAAGACAGCACTGAATTTGTACCTAATTAAAGGTAGGATTCAGTACGTGTTGGATGGAGTCAGACAGTAGGATCAGCATGGTGACTTGTTGTGGGCAATTTGGTTCATTTTCTTGCACTTCACCTGAGCTCTTTATAAACAAATTGCAGAAAGGTGTCTCAACTGTCACAAACATTTCACTTCAGCAGAAAACAGGACTTTCAAGAATATCAGGCTCTTGTGCATTCTATATTCCCATTTTTTCCYGGGTTTTYTCCCAAGCTGAAAATTTTTCTGTTGTTGCAAAGCTTGGAGTCAAAGCCTAAACATTATGGCTTCTTGGATGGTGATGCTCAACTAATAGGTGAAAATACTCCTTCATAAACACCAATTGCTGCACCAGTAGACTGATAAGGTRTTAATGACTTAACCAATATGTGATTAATTTGGGACTGTGTGTTTTCATGCCCTTTGTTCCAGGACRCCGCTGGGCCGTGCCCGGGCCTGGTTACGGTTGGCACTGATGCAGAAGAAAATGGCTGATTACCTTCGCTGTTTAATCATTCAGAGAGATCTCCTCAGGTAAATAGTTCATTAGATTTTGTTTGTAATTTATTTTTAGAGGTTTAGTCTCCTAAAAAAGAATCCTGCATTCCCCCACCATACAGAAAATCACTGGAAATCTCTGGAGAGGAGGTGAATTGATCCCTACCGTGTGTGTGGTTTCCACTGAGCTGCCATCAAATGTGGGGCTCTTGCTTTCAACTCCTTTAACAGTTCTAACACTGGCATTGCCCTCTTCTAGTATAACTTCTCTCCTGCCTGATGGGGTAATTGAAGCACAGAGAGAGAGAAAATACTTCTCATCTGAATTTCAGTTTTATAAGCTATACATATTTTTAAGACTTACTTTGTATGCCCAGATAATGCTGGTGTGTGAGGATGTCATTTGTGGTCAGCAGCTAAGGACTTTTCCATTGAAGACACAGTTTGTTACATAGAATCTAAAATTTTATTTWAMATGTGCTAGGAGGAGAAAGTGCTGSTATGCTATTGCTTAGTGAARTATTTATATTTTACAAACCTTGTTAGCATTTTAGACCTTTATGTTTCTCTTACATCCATTTAATCTCTTCCTTGGCCTCTTGAATTTCAAGCATGTATTCACTAAAGTCCAGACATTTTTTCATATAAGGTAATTTTTTTACCATTCTTCTTTTTACATTGCTTGCAGTGCTTCTTAAAAACATAGGAGTTGTCTGACTCAATGTTGCCAATCTGTAGCAGTATCCTCTTCAAAAAAGGTTAATAGCAGGTGTAGGGAAGAGTCTTTTCTGGCTTTTTTTGGTTTTCTTTTAAAGGCAAAGTAAATCTTGCCACTTCCCCGCACACACGCACACAATGTCCAAGCCATCTGGAGTCAAAGGCAGTATCCTTGTTTTTAATAGCCTCTGAGACAAGCCATGCACTTTGAATTTTCAAATATTTATGAGGTGAAAGTATGGGCCGGCCCAGTTCATCTTTAAGGATGTTGTAGTAAGGCTACAATAAGAGCAAATTTAGATGCGTATGTCACTTATTATTAATTTATTTGGTCTATATATAATGAATGAACCAGTAAGATGCAATTTTCTCCTTCAACACAGTGAGTTTTACGAGTATCATGCACTAATGATGGAGGAGGAAGGAGCAGTTATTGTTGGGCTCTTAGTTGGGCTGAATGTGATTGATGCCAACCTRTGTGTGAAGGGAGAAGACCTGGATTCACAAGTAAGTCCCTCCAGGTAAAGGAATGTATGTATAATCAGGGACATTTTCCTGTGCAGTGAATTTTGTTACTGTGAACTTGTGACTTGTTAGAAATCTTATTAGAGACTGTTCAGGGTGTGATGATCCAGCTTCTGGATCTGTGGGGATGTTGCCTTGACCTCATTATTTGCTGCTGTCCCAGACCTTTAGATGGAGATAATAGTCAGAGTGCAAGGGTGAAGTTTGGTGTTTTGTCCTCCAATGGGAGCAGCAGTTGCACTGCAGAGTTCTTTCTCTCTGAATTGTGTGACCCATCCTTTTCCTCTGGGGGACAAGTATCATTCCATGATCAGTTTACCCTGCTTGGTTCATTTATTGTTGTTCTGGAACATCACTGGAATGATACAAAGACCTGAAATAAACACTTTCTTGCGGCCTCTTAAGAGGGTGTGACTACTTTGATTCTGCGAAGCAAGACTTGGAATTCTTCCCACTTTGAATGGGCTTTGACTTTTAACCTTAATCTTTTCCAAGAAAATATTAACAGATTCTGTTTAAAGTCAGATGCACAGGTATTTGTGAAAAAAGTAGACTGTGTTCAGCTCTGATTATTTTTTTCAGCTTCTTTATGGAAAAAATATCATAGTAGTTGAAGGGATTTTTACTGTATTCAGCAGCATATATTTGATAAAAAAAACAGTTCCTCTGGGAAAGAGAAGTTACAGCTAATTGGGTGTGTGTGCTTTTGAATCACGTGGTTAAGTTGTCTTCAGTTGTTTGTTCTAGTTCCTCTGCAGTATTAGTTTTAGCTACTGACCTTGTGAGAAAGAAGATTGACAGGCCTGGAATTACAGAAAATATCTCAACTTGCTCTGGGTGTTGAGAAYGAAATAGGTGTTTTATAGATCACCAAATCTCTTGCTAGCTGTGTCTCTGTTATCTAGGTCACTCGGTGGCCTCGCTGCATGAGAGATAAAACTCGATTTGACAAGGTAGTAGTGGATGTGCAGATGAGATCCTGATTGCAATTTGTCCAAACTTGGCATTTGTAAAATGTCCAGAGTAATTCTGTTTGTGAAGAGTAAAGAAGGCACATTCTCAGAGCAGCGAGAAGCAGCAGGTTTTATTGAGCGGAAAGGCAAATTTCTGGAGGTTGATGGAAGTTTCAGCCAGCAGCATAGTTTTGTATATTATATTAAAAAAAAAAAATCTACTTAGTGGTGGAATGTGTTCATGCAGCCATATTGAAATGAAGTGAAATGAAATGAAATCCATGCAGTGGATTGAAATGAAGAAACTTTTAYAGCTAGAATATTTTACCATATTTAATAGAGATGGTATTTTGCTTTTAATAAGAAAAAAAATGTTTTTAAATAGCTTTTTAGAAAAGACATGGAAAAAGAGACTCTTTAGAAAAGACATGGAAAGAACAGACAGGAACCTGACAGGAKAGCATTGTCTAAATCAAGTAAATTTTAAACTTAGTAAAATCTTGTTTAAAGTTGAGGTTTTTCATCTTCYGGCTGAGACTGGACCAATCTAAAAATGCTGTAACTGAGATTTTATCAACTGCATAAGTACAAGGCTGTAAATAGTGACAGCAGTTCTTTGTATGGCATGAAACTGTACATTTGCTTTTCCTTAGGTCGGTGTGATTGATTTCTCTGTGTATTTGAAGAGTGATGATGAYATTGGGGGTAAAGAAAGGTACGTCCTCACCAAATACCTCTGATTTTGCATGTTAACAAACCATTTCTTGGCTGGGGCCCTGTTCTTTGTAGAAATAAGTCAGGTTCCTTTTTGAATGAAATCTTCTGATCATGAGAAAAATGCCACAGTGTGTTGTACTGTGTTAGCAGTTAGCTGGAAGAATATTTGCAGTCTGAACCAAACCTCAGCAGCATCACCTGCTGCCTCCAAGCAGTGGAGGCTTGCCAGGTGGCAGTGAAAAGGAACCTGCAGACCTTTAAGCCTTCAGTTTAGGATTTAGTCAGAGTTTCAAATAACCAGAATAGTGGCAGGGTAAATAAACATACTTTTCCTTTTCAGACTGCATATGTCATGTTTCATGTAGAGAAATGTTTGCAGTTAAAGCATTGGATTTTTTTGTCTCTCACTGATATATGCGATGTTGCCTTCATGAGTGTGAGATGAAGTTGCTTCCTTTCTTTTTAAAAAYACAATTCAGATGGACATTTGCATATGGTAAATATGTATATTTTCAGTCCATAGCTTAGTATGTTGTTTTGTTAAAGTAATTTTATTTTGTGCTTRCTTTAGAAATGTACAGATTGCTGCAATATTGGACCAAAAGAATTATGTTGARGAACTAAACAGGCAACTAAAGTAAGTATTACTTTGAAGTGTGGGTGTCAGGGCAGGCTTACAGGTAAATAAATGCCTTTTGTTTTACCAGCTTTGAGAGAACTTCAGAGAAAGACCTGCAAATTCTCCATGTTTAGATGAAGATTTAATGAAGCAGGAAAAGACACACTCCTGAGAGACTCAGGAAGTGTCAGTTTTCATGCTTTTAYTTTTGACAGTCAAAACCTTTATTCTTGAAAGAAACAGCCAAACAACAGGCCAAAGTTGGTGAAAGTCCTCAAGATTCATAACTTCACAGACATGAAAAGCTTGATCTGGATTCTGACTGGGCTCTGTTTAACAGTTCAGAAAAAGTGTTTTTCAGTGTTCTGGTGAATCAGTATGTTTTTGTTTGTTTGCCTTTCGGAATATTTTAGTTTGTGACTTTAATGCCTAGAACTGAAACTGAATAAGCTCATTTCTTGCTAGAAGCTACTTGTATGTGGTAGGTTGTGGTTCCTGTTGAAACAGTTTTCAGGAAAGCAGCGTTTGGCCCTTCCTTTGCTGATGGAGCAAACCCAGTCCACCACTGTGCAAATAGGAGAGCAKTGAGTTAAATTCTCTGAAGAATATTGTACAAAATTAAACAGGTGAGGAGCTAAAAACCTAAAAAACCTCAGCAAAACAAAACCAAACAACAAAGCCACAAGGAACTTCTGTAGAATCTGTGGTGCAGCTGACCTTGATCCCTTTTTGAAATGTAATCATCTTTTTAAATATTTAATGCTGGTAATCTGGATCACTGGTTACTATGAGGCTTCTGCTGGAGTAAAGATACTCTGCTTTGAAATGGTGTCAGTYACTGAGCAGAAGCCTTCAACAGCACAGAAAAACTGAGCATATCAAATATGAGCAAAATGAGAGTAAAGGAGGAGAAAAGAACTATCACAATTAAGAACAGTGGTGGTTGTGGGGTGTCATTATCCAGGCGAGCCTCTGTGAGTTTGTGTGTGCTGGTTTACACATAGAACTGCCTGCCAGATCAGTGACTCAGCAACTCTCCTATTTTACTTCAGTTCAGCTKCTCCTTTTTAGACATCCTAAAATGCATTAATCTTCTCTATCCTGCTGTTAATGAAGTGGCAGCTTCTGAGGACACCACAGAGAAATATGTGAAAAACTAGAAGGAGTTACAGGATAGGTTTTCCATTTTCCTGTATGTGAAGTACAGCCTGAAAAAAAAGGTGCTTCCTGCAGAAATAGGCAATCAGATTATGGAAAAGGCTTGGATGCAGATTGATACTATAGAAAACAGCAAAGTAATAAAATGCAATAAAATTCTGACGAGACTCCTAAGTGAAGTCAAGAAGCATCCAGAAAGAGTCTGAGGACAAATCTCAAAAAAGGTAAAGAAACAAATTATTTTATAGGAGAAATGTGTTTCGGAGGAAGAGAATCCAGGAAATTATTTTGTTATATAGGGGAGAAATAACACCGAGGTTGACTTTTAAGGGAACTCCTTTATCTTTTGGATGAAATATGGTTTTGAGGATAAAGSAAAGGGTGAGTACCTGGGAAGTTACAGCCAGCCAGGAGTTTAAATGACTGGGAATTGGAAAGAAGTATATAAATGTTCAACAAAGGAGAGTAATTTTCTTATATTTAGGAAAACCTCCAATAATGTGAATAGACCTTTTAGCTCTTAGCCATTAATCACTGTACSTTGCATTAAAGCTTTTGAGCTGGGTTGGTTGAGTTTTGATGTAATTTTGAATAACATTGTTTCTTTTTATCTTTCAGTAGCACAGTGAGCAGTCTACATGCAAGAGTTGACTCACTGGAGAAATCAAACACTAAACTGATAGAAGAGGTACTATTTCATGTTATGCATAACATCATTTTCTCTCAAAGGCTGTTTTCCTAAATATGATTACATTTTTTGAATCTATGGAAGTCCTGTGTAATATGTTCAGATACCTTTATTTTGGCCTAAAGGAAAGGGGCAGTAGCTGCAGGGATTTATGTCAGCTTGCCAGGTAGCCTGTAGTATCAGTATAATCATTCTGTAGAACATTGCAATTTCCAACTTTYGACAAAATGAGAAGAGAATCCTCTCTTAGTGCCAGCTGTCAGTCTGATTTGTGCAGATGACTAGTCCAGAATGGATGACACCAGTTGCTACAAAGACACAGAAASTAGTTCACCAAGCAATTTCTGTTCCAGTTCTCAGCTTTAGCCAAGGGATGGTTTATTTATTGTACGCTCATCTACAGATTTTAGACTTGTCTGATTCTGGGTTTGTGTTTATTGCCTATATTTCTGGTTATCTTTGATGCTTGACTAGTTTCCAATATTTTTAGCTTTATAAGARAGAGCACCTTTTTTAGTTAATGAAGTGGAAAATTGAAAACTCTGAATTCAGCTKCTGAGGGGACAGCTAGCTCACTCTTGGAATAATGGATCCAGCTAGAGGGGAAACATTTTTTTCCGAGTGTTAATTCTCAGAGTATTCTGACTCCTTTACAAGCCTTCAGCCCAACTGTCCACCTATCTGGATCCTTTGGTTTACAATTCTGACATTCAGGTATATAGTGTYGGGCCCAGTTATAAAGTTTCATCTTTTGTGAATGTGTTTGTTTTCTGTGGGGGGGAGGTTTTCCTGTGGAAGCTGCTCCATATGATATCCCAAGATACCAAAAAAAGAAATAAAGCTCAATGAACTTGAAGACATGTGGAAAAAAAATTGAGCAGGAGGAAAGAGAATTGAGGGTCTTTAAATCATAATGAAGCAATGAAAAGAAAACATGTTCTTGACCAGCCATGAAACAGTGAGATATCCTGAATATGCTGCTGCTGTGTAATCAACGTGACTCATTAATAAAACCAGGAGCTTTATGTTTTCTTCAAAAATAATTAATCCTCTGTTTGGCAGACGGGGAGAATAGAGCAGGGAATGTCCTGGTGTTACATTCATCAGAATGTTTTTTCTTTATTTCTCCTCACAAAAGTCACACTGCTTTTCTTTTTCTTTTTTTCTCCAGTTAGCAATAGCCAAAAACAATATAATTAAACTTCAGGAAGAAAACCATCAGCTAAGGAGTGAAAATACTCTGATTTTAATGAAAACACAGCATCATCTAGAGGTACGTTAACTTTACCACATTTAATATTGTAACAATGTGGTTGATTTCCATTCAGATGTTTGTACATCTCAACTTGAAGTAAGCTGTAACTTGTCCAAATCTGAAAGAACTTTCATAAGGGAAAGAACCTGTTAAATCTGTGGAGCTTTRTAACTGGCATAAGTAAATTAAAATTCTAGGACACTAAATAGTTTTATAACCACATGCACATTTTGTGTATTCAGGTGCCACTGAAAGAGAACAGTACTCCATGTTAATTTTGCTAATTTTACTCAATTCTCACTATAAAACTGATGGCCACAGAGCAGAAGCAGCTCCTTCCATGTTTGTCCTSTGCTTGAAGAACGTGTTAAATTAATGCCATTAGATCCGTTAATACGTATTAAATTCATGCCATTAAACTGCTGAACTTGTGATGGGGAAAGACGGAATCTCTGTATCTTTGTAGGCAACTAAAGTGGATGTTGAAGCAGAACTTCAGACCTACAAGCACTCCAGGCAGGGCCTGGATGAGATGTACAACGAGGCACGCAGGCAGCTCCGGGAGGAGGCACAGCTGCGCCAAGTGAGTGTTCCTGCACTGCAGCTCTGCAGAGATGAGGCTGCACAACAGKCACAACAGGAATAGTTCTMGTTTTGTTGAGTTTAGATGCTGCCTTTAATTGCCTTAATAGCYTTTTCTCTAATTGCCTATARTAAAAAGGGATTTTTTACAGAGCAYCAATGTTTCTATAATAATATTGCTRGAGAACAGTGAAGAAAAYACATTTTTCTTTGATAAATTTTTCAGTAAGTTTTTAGCAATGCTGTATGCTCTCTATCTATGCTAAACCTTTCTTGTGAAAATACAAATACTTTAGTTCAATTTTTGTAATTAATACTTAGGCAACCCTGTGCAACACTGGCTGWGTAATTTACAATCTCAGCTGTCTTCTCCCAGTGTTAAAAATCCCCACTGGTCAGTTATTATGTGARTGTAACATTTGTGTAGTGCATAATTTGCAAAGTTAAAGAGGGGCAGAATTTCTTAAGTGGTAAAATAGGTGGTGCTACAACTCTCTTAGGAGTTTCAAAACAAAAATGAAAATATTCCATGATTATTAAAATRCTCTGTGCTGCATTGTGTGTGTTTTCTAGGATATGGAGAATGAGCTAGTGGTTCAAGTCAGTATGAAACATGAGATTGAGCTTGCCATGAAGTTGCTGGAGAAGGATATCCATGAGAAGCAGGACACCCTCATCGGCCTTCGGCAGCAGCTTGATGAAGTGAAAGCCATTAACATGGAAATGTATCAAAAGCTGCAGGTAAAGGGACAATCTGCTSTTAAACTGCTGAAAGGATCAAAGTGAGAGAAATTACCATTCTGTTCGGTTAAATGCTGCTGTTCCTGGAGTTTTGGTTTCCTGTTGTTTCTTAGGTCAGCTTGACATTTTGGAACATTACCCATGTAAGCATAACTCCACACAAAGACCTTCTTAAGGCAGTCTCTTACTGGATTTAGGGAAGAAAAGAGCATAAGGATAAGATCATGGCCTATTAATATCCTGTGTGAAATAGAGAGAATAATAGTGCACTGTAACAATAACTTTTTTTTGGCCTGTGTTATATWAAAAAGCCAGAAGAATGTAGGCACATAGTGAGGAGTTGAAGAGAAGCCCTGGCCTTCCAAAGTAAGRAAAGGAAGACAATATTACGTTAAATGGAAAAAGCTAATTGCAGTTTTCAGTTTATTTTTTAAATCTTTTGACAAATTAAGAAAATCTCTAACAATGAAATGCCTTCTTTGGGAGAGTAGGGATCTCAGAGACCGCAAATTCAGTTAACAAATGACCAAATACCAGTGAAATRTTTATGCAGAACATGAATTTGATTTATGGAATATGTTATCAAACCAGCACAAGAAACCAGTCAAATCCGTRGGAGAATAAGGGGAAAAATTAGGATGCTGCAGAGACAATTGAAGTGATGAACTAARGATTCCACTTTTTCATCTGCAATTGTGAGGAAACTGGACCAGAGGATGACAAATACAGATAGAGCTGGAGAGAAAAATAAGAATGTTCTCCAGTGTTAGGATCTGGGGAGGTTTCATTTGTAGGAAAGCCTTGGTGATTTTCTGGACTGAGCTCTTTGCTCTTCATTGGTAAGGTTCTAATGGGCTACTTGATTAGCAAATTTGAGTTGATTTCTAAAGTGATTAATTAGTTTAATTAGTAATTAAAGTGATTAAGGAAGGAAACCAAAGGGRAAAATTTATATTTATTAAATAGCATTTACCCTTGCAAAGTAATGAAATGTAGTAAGAAAATGACAAATTTTCTAGACAAAAGATTTTACATACTGTCATCAAGGTTTTTTAGAGAGTAATCCTTAAAAAGAATCAAAGCCCGAAGCCATTTCAACATTTTCCCCTTCAGATACTGAAGAAAAAGCCCTTGCGAGGTAATGGTGCAATTATACCAATTTCAGTTTTAACCTCTTTTGTAACACAGGTTTCTGAAGATGCTATGAAAGAAAAGAATGAAATAATTAGTCGATTAGAGGATAAGACCAATCAAATTAATGCAGCCATGAAGCAAYTAGAACAAAGGTACAGCCCCATCTTTGTTTCTCTTCACTCATGACTCCACCTCCTTACATTTTACTGCATTCCTACAGTTGCCATTGAAATGTAATTTTCAACTAGAACATTTAAAACAAAACTTCTGAAACTTCTAATAAGTGCTTTGCTGTTGGATTTTTTTCCCCATTTGACAAATGCACTTACTTTAAATGCAAACAATCTTTCAGTTTTCTTCCTCTACCATATTTCTTCTGGTCCTAGGTTTTGATGCTGATATCAAAAGTTGTTTTTTCAGTTGTTTCAAGATTTTGATTCATTATTCCTTACTTTTTTTCCCCCACCTGAATGAAATGCAATAGAAACTGAAGCATTAATCTTGCTTATACTTAAGCATATGCTTAATATAAACATTAATGCCTTCAAGGATCACYGAAGCTGTGATAATTGTTGTCCATTGCTTTGAAGTGTCATTATTTTCAATGACTTAATGAGTTTTCACCTGAAAGGTTGAAAAGTGAAAGACTGAAATTCCAGAATATAAATTTATGTTATGGTTAGACTGCATGTACTACATGATAGCAAGATGTGATTCATATGTTTTAATTTAATGGCCTTATGTACAACATGAATCTTTATAATTGTAAAATAGTACATATCCATAAACCCTGTCATGTTGGTGTTCAACATGTCTTTTTTTTCATTTAAATCTGATTATGAAAAACATGCTTATGTATTAAAAAAATTAGTGACATGAATATTCTTTTATTGACATCCTTTTTTCCTCTTTTTTCTTTTTCTTTTTATCCTTTTATCCCAATTTTTGTTTTTACTGTTTTGCTGCCTCCATCTGTCTTTGATTTTTGTTCACTGCATTCATGAAGTGACAAAGATCTGTTAACTCAAACTAGGACTATTGCAATGTCATTCGTCAAATGTGCCAGCAATGAGGCTCAGCACCAGTATAAACTTGTCAAGGATATATCATTCTGAAAGCTCCTGCACTTCTCTTGTGTCGGCAGAATTAATTGCTGATTAAATAGGACTTGAGAATTTTCCAATTAAACCTTTAAAGTGGTATTAGAAATCCTGCACTGTAACTGGTCGTAGCTGGGTTCTGTTTTGTTTTCTGAAAGAACATCATCTTCGATCACACTTTACCCCTCCTAAAAAAAAAAAAAAAAAAGAAAAAAAAAGTAAATTACTGCACTATTATTAAGCAAATGTAAGCTAGTTTTCTAATGATATCTAATAATTTCTTTGTCAAATTTTATTTTAAAAGGGTAGATATCTTTACTTTGTACATTTTTACGACATTTGTTTCTAATTAGTGATTTTTCCGGTTCTTTGGTACTAAGAGATTTAAAAAGTAGCCCTCCTGGCTAATACTTCCCTTCTCCCCTGCTTATTCCTTTCACTTTTTGAAAAGTGGTATTCTATAAATACCACTTTTTGGTATTTATCCCAAAAGCACGCTCTCTGCTGGSTTTTGTGGTTGTAACTAGCACTATTTTCTTAAACAGAATGGCAGGAGTTTGAGGGAAGGAGCTGAGCTCTGTGGAACCCATGGATGTAAGGAAAGGGTGGTGTCAACATTCGTGTTCTGTGTGTGCAGTGAAGGGGTGGGGATCAAACATTTAAAGCACAGTTCCATTTCCCCCATGTCATGAAAGGTAAAATATTTTCATGGAGTGAAACTGTTCAGAGCCTGGTTTGTGTGGGGCTCCAGACAGAGATCAAGTGCTCCAGCAAGTTCTGAAGCTGTGACTTCTGCCTAGAACAGCTGCCCTGGAAGGTGTAGGAATGAGCAGGATCTACTCTTAGGGCCCAGATCTTAAACTTGTCTAACCTGTTTGTCAGCTGAGGATCTTGCCTGACTGTGTCTAYACTGAAATCAATGGGTTGTGCCCAAATCCTTTTCCCTCGCTCCACCCATCATTAGGCAGCCTTTACCTTGTATTTTTGCTATGGGGTGCTGCTTGCCTGCACTGCARAAAGAAGAGTTAAGGCTGCTGTCTGCCCCTAACACACTTCCTAATGTTTGCTCTGAAGTTTGGAGTGGAAGTTGACTGGGAAAATAACCTCAGGGTCTTGCAGCAGAAGGGAATGYGTTTGCAGAAGTGGGGACAGGATGAATTGATACAGAAAGGGTTTCTACTCTGGTTCTAAAGGTAAAGAGCCTTTAATATGGGCTGGGTACTGAAAAATARAAATAAATATCTTCTATTTTCAAAGAAAATCCACATCAGAAACACTAGAAYGACAGGTAGACCATAGCAGAAATGGGAGCCTTGTCCATCTCACTGTCACCTATGCAAAGAAATACCTGCCCCAGTATCATCTGAATGCCAAACCCAGCTGCAAACTGGGGCCAGCTCAGCATCTGTCTGAATTTCAGCAGTGCAGTCAGCCCTGGTGCTGGGCTGGGGGATGGTGCTGCAGCTTTTGGGTACAAGCTCCCTTCGCTCATGGAAACAACTGTGCAGTTGATTTTGTGATTTAGGAAGGGTTTAACGTGCTTTTGGTGCTAATATCTTGTGTAGCTTCATTCAGCTTCTGCACAGGGGAGTGACCTGCTTTTGRCCAATAGTCTCCTTTCCGTATTTTGGCCCTCTGTGCAGTACCCTTGCAAACGTGACTGGGAGCATTCTTAAAACTCCTGGGGTAGCTGAGTGGGATAGTGCACCCTTTATAAGGTAGTTGCATTCCAGCCTTTTRTCACTTGTTTACGGGCAGCTTTTGGAAACTCCCTCTGGTGCAACTTCATCAGCAGAAGCACAAATGCAGGCATATTGCTGACACATCTTCTTTTTAGCTGACACTGGGAGTTGGGAGCTGCTCTGTGCTCAGTGAGCTGCTGGGAAGTGAGCAATCAACCATCTCACTGATTCCTCCCACCCCTTACCTGAGAGGCTCTTGAAACAGTTTGGTGTTTTACAGGCTCTCCTATCCTCCAGACAGGTGTGGCCATGATATAGCACAAGTGCCCTTTTAGTACTTTTACTTTTGTTACATTACATCTACCTTTTTTGACTCTGAAGAGATAACCAAGCAGAGAGGAACCACAGTGAACTAATGGATTCCAAAGGGGCACTCTCAGCTGTTCAAACCCCTGGAATTCAGAAAGAAAATACTCAAAAAACGATCCCTGATTTCTCAATTAATCATTTTAATTTGTCTATAGTAGGGAGCTATTTTAACCAGTGTAAGAATGCATTATTTTTAGTACAGACTATTGAAATTAGTTTAAGAATACGATGTAGTTGAGGTAGTTGTATAAATGTAGTGGGACCTGTCAGGGTGTATTTTGTTGTATTAGGCTAGTTAAGTTTTTTGCTGTCTGACTGCAGTGCTCTGTATACAACCATATGCCTCAATTGTTTTGAGCTGCTTTTGCACAACACATGCTCTGCCCTGTCCTCATGGGTGATTAGTGCAAGCCAAGGACTTTTACAGGATTTACTTGGGGGAAAAAAAAAGCTTCAAAAATAACACATGGACATAATGCTGAAGGAAAAAGAAAAGCATCATGTTGTATGCTTCGATTCTAAAATATGTATCATGCTTTGGCACCTGTTATTCATGAGCATAAAATAAAACAGTGATTACTTACAGTGATTACTCTCTTACTATATGAAAACCCAAGAGCTAGTTCTCTAGGCATTGTATGGATTTCTCGTTTGAGTTTGTAAGTTTCCCCCAAACTTTGTTTTTATTTAGAAATGTTTCTATTTCCCCATTTTTCTTTTATTTGTCTTCTTCACCCTCTACACCCTAGTTCTAGCTTCAGTTTTACCCAAAGTTGATTTGAATTACACCAGATTGCAGCAAGCAGAGAAGGCTCAAATGGAGGCTGAGGCTGAGGATGAGAAACTTAAACAGGAATATGTGAATAAATCTGAAAGCCTGCAGAACGAATTCTCCCAGAAGGAGAAACAGCTGTGAGTATTTCTTCCCCATTTGAAAAAATGCACGGAAAAATGTTTGAAAAAACATTCTCCATTGCAATATGTCCTGTGTCCTAATACAGCCTTCTTGTTGTTAAATGCTTTTGAACAGAATGTAAATACTAAAGATTTTCATGTTAGGTGCTAGCAAGGCAGAAGAAAATATGGCATTCCAAGGAAGCCAGGCTGGCTTTGAGTACCTCTGAAATGACCTACAGCTTGAAAGGAAGGGGAAGAAYAGCAGTATTTCCTCCCTAAAAGTGCCAGCTTAATTCAGGAGGAAATTATCCTAAGTGGGGAAAATATGTAGTGGAGTAGTAGTAAAAGCCACTTTTAACAAAGCCCACAAGTATAGAGGAGTGAGTATAAACTGAAACATAACAATGGTTTGATTGATCCAGCTTAAGAATAAGGTAGAAGTGGTTTAACTACCACTGCGCAGGAAATAAAAAGGGAAAATCTACTGGAGTCATAAAAGTTTAAAAAACTGTAAAAGCCAACCCTCTAGCCTTTCTCCTCTTCCATTCTTCAGTACTAATTTAAATAAATACATAACGTTAAAAGCTCCCTGTAGGGACAGGTATTTTCCCTCTTGGGGAAGATAAAACAACAGTTTTTTAAATAAATCTTTGGCACAAAGGTTGGGGCTTAAAAAGGAGTGATTTCMAATCCAGTTATGAGCCCTCCCCTGCCTCTCTCAGAACTCTGAATGTCAATACACTTGTTCACCTGTCATGACAAATGTTCACTTTACTACCACAGTCACCTCTGCAGATTTGGGCAAAAGAACAGTTCAGACCCCAGCCTTAGAATTCTGCAGTTCTGAAACCTCCAGGTCATGTTCACTTCTTTTCCAGCCAGATGCTGAGGTAGTGTCCCAAAATGTAAGTCTTTCCTTTAAAAGTGGGTTTGGTTTTAAAATAGAAAAAATAATGTGGATATAGGTTTCCCATCAAAAGACCTTGCATGAATACTCTGAGATTTGTTTTCCCTCTTTTACTGTGTTGGCACAGTTTCGATCTAGAAGGTTGAATAGTGTGCTTCCACCCTTTGGTTTCTCCACAACATTCTAAACACCAGCTCTTCCATGAAACCAATATAAAATTCCAGCTAGAATGGCTCTTCCATCAGAGTATCCCTAATTCCTTTAACTGGACTTAAGTTAATAGCATCTACATCCCTCTTTAGGCTGAACCTCAGCTGTGTAGAAAGCTCAATAAAAATAGTAATTGAAAGTCCTTCCTCCTTTATTTTCAGTTCTGTTCAAAATGCCATAACCTTAGTCTAAAATAGAAGATTCATATCTAAGGGTGTAAAATTAAATCACTTCTGTGGGTATCAGAGATATCTGCAATCATTGTCTGCATCACCAATGACACTGGCTGGTTGGTTTGGTTTATTTTAGAAACAAGCTATATGAAGTTAATGGGGCTTTGCCTTGTGCTTGTTTTAAAAATACTTCAGAATTTTGTGGTTAGTCTTCTCTTACTCATTTATTTCAAAGGTCAGCTCTTSAAAATTATGCCATATTCTTTTTCCTTTAAATAAACATACTTCAAAAGCATTTCCTAAGTGACAGTGCTTTGTTTATCATACTGATATCTAAAATATCAATATGTTGACACATTATTTCTCTTGTAGAAAACATGTAAGTCAATAGTTTATTATGATAATAGCACCCAGAAATAAACTCAGTTTTGTTTTTAAAAATGATACTGTTGTGCACAGTGATTTTTGTTTTGTTTTGTTTTGTTTTACATATTCTAGGCTTCAGCTGGAAACAGATTTGAAGATCGAAAAAGAGTGGCGGCAAACCCTAGAGGATGATCTTCAAAAGGAAAAGGAAACTGTATCTCATCTGAGAACAGAGACCCAAGAAATAGTTAATCTTAAGAAAGTAAATTTTGCAGCAAATTTTGACGAGTAATTTAGAAATTGACTGCCAAGTTAATGATGAACGTAGACATGGTATTTTTAAATATTTCTGTAAATATGTAAGAAAGGTTACATTAATGACTTCTCACAAATAGAATAAGGAAAAACATGGGGTTTTTACTCCCCATTTAGTCCTCAGATCAGAACTCAGTAGTCTGGATAAGGAAAAATGAAATCCTTGTTTTCCCTTCTCAGCTGTGTAGAAGGCTCTGTCTGTGCACCTGGGCCACAAAGTGCTTCAGCTTCTCTCTTGACTTTATATCCATGGCTCTCTAGTGCCCTTGGGCTCTCCACTCAGATGGATTTATTTTCTCCCTGGAGTGGGCTACAGAAGCAGAAATGCTTCATTATCTCTTGGGGTCTAAGAGAGTTTAATCCTGAGGAGCTGCTGTTCAGGTTGGATTTGGAACCTTAAGCGTGTGAGGGATCACTCATTCACTTGATTTTCTCAACAAGATTAGCTTCAGTAGAAGCAGCTTTCTARACAGTAGGCAGATAGAATTTGAGAATAATTTGATTTAATTTTATTTGCTCATTTTGTTTTAAGGAGTTCCTTAAACTTCAGAAGAAGAACAAGCAACTGAAAAGCGTCTGTGAAGACCAAGAAGCTGCTCTCCAAGAACTGGCATCCAAGCTGAGCGAGTAATTTCATTATTCATAATGATTTAYGCCTATTCTTTTTGTCTCATAAACTTGAATTAAGAAAAATAGAGGGACAGTGGTCATGGTTAGACTGTGTATGACAATATTATTTTTATTTTGATAACTAGCCAATTATCAAAGGTCAGTGTGTCTAGTTAGGTCAGGTCTGTTCATTTTTATTTTTGGCTGCTGGGGTGGCTGTGAGCTCCTGGGTAATGACAGTGCTGTGAACAGAAAATCCTAGTTTGAAGGGCATCAGTCTTTGTTCTGCAGTGAAAACAGTTGCCTGATTTGCCAGTTGTGGTATTCCCAGAGGAGCCTCCAATGGAAGATGCCAGCTCTGGCTCCAGCAGRGCAGTGCTGRTCTTCCTGAGCCCCARCCAGACACYAAKCCCCACACAGCTGCTCACTCACTTCCCCACCKCAGGGATCAGGGAGAGAATTGGAAAGGTAAAAGCTGGAAAACTCATGGAGAGTTTTATAGGGAAAAAAGACAGTTTAATAGGGAAAAGAAAAATCACACGTGCAAGCAAAGCAAAACAAGGAATTCATTCACTGCTGCCCATGGGTGTTCAACCATCCCCAGGAGAGAGGGTCCCCTCACATGGAATGGTGACTTGGGAAGATAAATTCCATCACTCCAAACATCCCCCCCTCTTCCCTCTTTCCCCCACTTTCTATACTGAGCATGAGGATCAGCTCCATGGTCTGGAATATCCCTTTGATCAGTGGAATCCTCTGTCCTGGCAGTGTTCCCTCCCAGCTTCCCATCACTCCCAGTCTCCTCCCCAGTGTGTCCCTACGGGGAGCAGAAAAGGCCTTGAATCTGTGTAAGCTCTGTGTAACATCTCTGTGTTATCAGCCCTGTGTTCAGCCCAAATCCAGGACACTGCCCCTGCAGCCCCTGGGAAGGAAATGAGCTCTGCCCCAGGCAGAAGCAGCACARCCTGGAGAGGATGGAAGGGGTCAGCTGGCCAGCATGACTGTCCTCATTGTCATGTGGTGTTGAAGTTTCATTCAGTGATCCGTCTTCTCAGTGGTTTTGCTGTGATTTATGTGGCCTTTGATTCCCTGTAGAATAAGTCTGTGTGTGTCTCCTGTGCCTCAGCTCTCAATGGGTTGGCCCTGGATGGCTGTGGGGAAGCTGCTTATTCCTAATGACATAATGTGGTTTTGTACCCTCGTTCAGAGGACTTGGCTTAAAATTTTTTAAGTTCCAACTTTTTAAGTTGTCAGACCAAAACTGACCATGTAGAAGTTTGAAACAGGATTATCTTATTCTTTAGATCGAAGCTGAAAATAGAAGATATAAAAGAAGCGAACAAAGCACTGCAGGTCAGTAGCATTTTGAGTAATGAAACTTTTAACTGTTCCTTTTGGAATCTTTTGTGAGCATGGAAAACACTTCTCTCCAACAGCAGCTACTCCAGAGAGGCTTATTGTGTGACTTCCTGCAGTGGAAGAGAACCACAGACTCCCTGTAATCCACTGAAAAAAAATTTGCTTTTGATTTTTCTTGTTTGATGCACAGCTGTGCATTTTGTCTCTTTTCTTGCAATGGAACACACCCTTCTATAATTTACAGAGTGTATCTGGGACAGAATGTGTAGCCAGCTGAGCTTAACCTGCATAGTACTTCTCAGAGATCAATAAATATTTGATCATCCTAGGAATGAAGGTGTAGGACCAAAGCTGATCAAATATGATCTGTAATGGTGACAGGTTTGGGACTTGCTTGGAGATAGCAAGGAGCACTGGCGAGCAGAGATTTTGTCTGCACGTGTTGCACAACTTCTGTGTCACCTGGCATTTTATTTCAGCCCAAGTCACAGTGTCCAAAAYGGTTGAGCAGATTCCTGGGTTTATGAAGTGGTTTAGACAGAAGGAGGTGACGGTTCTTGGCACTGTCCTGGTTTTTTTTGCTTCCCTGCATCTCGAGGACTGTTCCCATGTGATGAGCAGGCTTCACTCTGAGACATGGATGCCTTTCTGCTTTTCCAGCTCAGCCACTGCCACCTTTCCTCCCTTGAGCACGTTTTCTTCACACCCATTCCTGCTCTGTCTCATCCCCTCAGGTTTTGCAGTGTTTTGGAGCAGTCCTGTGCTGCTTTAGAGTGTCTGTGTGACATTACACTGGTCCCAGGGCACTCAGCATTCAGGCAGTGAATGTTCTGCTCTTGATTTGTCTTGTTCCCTGGAGCCCAAAGTTTAACTTCATCAGATACATTTAATTATGATAATTTTTCTCCAGGGCCAGGTTTGGTTGAAGGACAAAGAGGCCACTCATTGCAAGCTGTGTGAAAAGGAATTTTCCCTTTCCAAAAGGAAGGTAAAACTTTAACAAAATTTCTTCCAACTTGTTTACAAATATGTAAATTATTATTACATATGTAATTATTATTACAAGATTATGTAATTATTCATTCTCTGAGAGTATGACATGAAATGTCAATGATCAGGTGAATGCAGAGTTATTTTTGAGACATTTTTTCTAGTTCTTTGATACATACAATGCAGCTGGGCCTAAATTTCAAAAGAAACAATGTCTCAGTGAAATTCCACAAAAGAATTTAGTTAAAAATTATTTAACTACTTTGTGCAATCGTTATCTCAAACTCTTATCAGCTCTGGCACTGCTAGAATTTGAAAGGTGTAGAAATCTTTTTATGGTATTTATTATACAAAAGATTAAGAAATTATGAGTTTGTCATTTTTAAGTAAAACATTAATTTCCATGCTTTATTCATGTGTGCAGGAATTTTTCTTTATCTTTTAATGTTAAATCTCATTCAGCTACCTGACAGAAGCATCCACTGGTTTGATATCATTGAATATCATTGCTCAAGCTGTATTTTTATATAGCAGAATATTTTCTTAATCCAGGGTTTGAATGAAATCTTCAAACCATATATATATATATATATATATATTTTAAAAAAAAGGTCCTAAACAGGTCTAGATCTATCCAACCATGGTGCAATCCTAGACAAACAAACATCATCCGTGTGGGATTGCATCACAGTTTGGGATGTAGATGAATTACTTTTGAAAATGGACTCTGTTCTCAGACCCGAGAAGTGAAAGGAATTACATTTTGGATTGCTGTGTGTGTATTGTTTATTGGGATCCAGTTAGTAAGTACATTTCCATTGCAAATTTCCATTTTTAATCTTCTGCCCATTATTTAGCATCACTGTAGGAACTGTGGGGAGATCTTCTGCAATGCCTGTTCTGACAATGAACTGCCTCTGCCCTCTTCACCAAAGCCTGTCCGGGTCTGTGACTCCTGCCATGCAATACTCATACAGAGGTGCTCTTCTAATGTGCCATAAGGTGTTTATTAATTCTGGTATTTAGCTCATCCTGTAAAAAACMCAACACCAACTAAAGTATGTACAGCAGTATTTCCAGACTTTCAGGTAAGCAGTGTAGAGTTGCAATTTTGAGGTGTGGACGAGTTACTTCTCTGCTTCGTCTTGAAACAAATGGAGAAAATGACACTCAAATGTAGAAAATGCACATAGAAAAAGAAGAAAACAGGTGAGAATGTTGGTCTGCAAATGGCTCAGCAGCTCTTTTGGGAGGAAGCAGGGCAGTTTATACAGGAGACTCAGTGTTAATTCGTATTGGATGAGTATTTGAGTTGTTAAGGTGATCTGGAGAAAGGTGATACTCTTAATGTGCCACAAGCCCAACCTAATTCTGAGTATGCCTGTGATGGGCTGCTGTGAAGCAAAACCAGGCAGTTTTAAACCAGCTGGTTTTAAATTGCACTGGAAACAAGCTTGGCAATTAATGCAGTGGTCTGAGAAGTTATTGCCAAATACCATGTGTTTGTTTACTTCCTCATTATCAGGGTTGGATACATCCAAGAATGTTGTATGGGCAGCTCTGTTCTGTGCACAAGTGTAAGGGGCGACTCTGTCAGACAGAACAAACCGTGCCTCAGGGCACTTGCTGAAGGAAGGAGTGTTTTGCTGAATGATTTTTTCAAATGAACTATGAATTTGATATATGTGTTTCCATTAAAAGAGAGCTGTTCACCACAGAGCTCTTGGCTGACATTGTCTGTAACCTTGAACAAGTCTCTGCATTRTTTTCATGCAAGTCATGCTGTCAGGCTTGTGTAGTCACTGCATAGCTCTAGAAACCACCTGGACAGACTGGGATWAAACACTGGGGACCACATCCTTTCTGTGTTGGACAGGAAGGCACTTCCTTATTTTGTCTCCATCTCTGTCAAACCTTCAGAGTTGGTTTCTAAACTTCATTTTGTTGAAGAGCCCTTTTGAATCTAACCACTCTTGACACTGATGGTAACTTTTGCTGGAATGTAAAATCCTTGCTCTTTCCAYAGGCAATTAAAAATAATATCCTTTGATGAACTGCCCTCATTTCCACATCAGTGCACTGTACCCTCTTCCCTTTAGTCACTCCTGGGATGRACTCCAGCCCTGGAACCCCCCTGCTCCAGATTTATCAGCCCCACAATTCCTTCAGCCGTGGGCTTGGAGTAGCATTACTGACAGCAAAAGGGGGAGGCTTACTAACAGGTCTTTGAGTTGTCCTTGMACTTCATTTAGCTTGGCTTTGTCACTGAGGATAGGGATTTAGTGAATATCTTAAAAGCTAACACACCTATTCTTTTTAACACTTCAATGTAGTTGCTTATGTAGCTTTTGTAAAGAAAAATGTTTTTAAAATGACCTGATGTAATAACTTTTTGTAAAATATCACACAAATACTTGTAAATCTGTAAATAATTTTTGGAAAAAAAAAATAAATACAAGTGATCTCCAACTTAACTAAGGGAATAATGTCACTTTWTTAAAATTTGTAATTCAGTGTATTGTATTTTATTATGACTTGTTCAAGTTGCTTGGAAAGCGTTTGCTGATGCTGGGGAGGGAGGTACCCTGCTAAAGACAAGCARGTGCTGCTCATGTGCCTCCTGAGAGTGTTTTCTGGTGGGCTTTACATGGAYCAGGATTGGAGGCAGCAGGGTTTGATGTAGGATAAAGCTAATCTGTACTGCTTTAGTAAGTAACTTGACAAAAAGTATGCAGCTAAACAAAAATAATTTTAAATAGGCAATCTTTTCAAGTAAGAATATAGTGCATTTCCATAATGTGCAATGAATTCTGTTACTTAACTGCCATCTTTTCCTCCCCTCTCTGCTGCCCTATGTGCATGGGAAAAGTGTTTAATTCAGATTGCTATTACTGACTCCAGGTAAGACTTCTGCCTTGATCAAAACGAGTGCTGGATGTTCCATGTGGTTTCATTTCCCCTGGCATCAAACTACTCACTAGCCTGTTTTGAAGGTTTTGGGGCATCACTGTGACCAGTGCTGTATCTTGATCTTTCTGTAAAACCCTGCTCTTGATTCGAAATCGTTCTCACAGAGCACAGGAAGAGCTGTGGGGTACCCACGAGAACCTGGAACTGTTCAGCAGCAGTTTGTTCCACTAAGGAAATGAAACAACTTCTGCCTGCTTGCTCTGGGGGCGTTAGCAAGTACCCGGAGCCGATCCGCAGCTCCTCCTGCTCCTCCCCGCCCCCCGCCCCACAAAGGGAGGGTTAACAGCGGCTTTGCTCCGCCTGCCCGGGAGCGAACGGAACGCCCGGCACTCCGGGCGGCCCTCACGTGGCCGCCAACACCGGCGCTGCCCGGAGAGAGCACGGCAGCTCCCAGCCCAGGCTGCAATACACGGCCACGAAACCGGCACCGGCCTCAAGGGCCGGGCAGCCTCMGTGCAGCTTCTCCTCCCAGAAACCAGTCCTCTGCCACTTAAACGCTGCTGCAGTGAGCTGAAGGGCTCAAGGCTGAACGCTGCTCTCGTTACAGGACGAAGGACTGGCAGAAGGATTCACTGTCCTGCAGTGGAATTGCGTTGGCTGGGACTGAAATTAAGAGTGCTTGCTTGTATAGAAGAGCTCAACCCCACCCTGCGCTCCAAAGGTGAGTCTTAGGCAGGTGTCAGGGCTCCTTCTCCTGAGATGGAACACCAGGTGTTCCCAAGCGAGGAAGMACTGCAGAGCTGGCAGATTTTAGCTCTCTGCTGTGCCCACGGTACAAACAGGCTTTCCTCCACCTYACTGTAAGGTGCTTTTCCTGCTATTGAATGACCTGGTCCTGACAGTGCCACTTGGGAAATGGCTCAGCATTACTGGCGAGAGACCAAGAACCCCTTAATTCTGAAGAGCAACAAGTTCCAATGGTTAAGAATTTTCCCTCCCCTTCCTAGCCAAAACTGCTCCAGTGTTTGGAAACCTTCCTGTACCAGTTACCCTTCTCAGCTCTCCCAGTCCCCCTGACACCCAAACACATCTCTAGTGAAATAAACTCCATTCTCCTCTCTCCCACAAGAAGACATTTATTACAGATATAACACAGTACTAGCAAACAGGTGACAGACTTGCAATACCCAAGATCACATTTGACATTTTAAGGGAGGCATTGAGGACAAAGCAGTTAATTTGGGAGATCACACTGGCTCAGAAGAATAAATACCTTTTTCCATTACACATCAGGTATGTTAAGTGTCTTCAAACAATAAGTTTCTTACATATCTTACATGTCACAAATGCACAAGGAGTTTTATCAAGGTGTTTGGGTTGTGTGTTACTGAACAAGTATTGGGCCTATAGATATTTTAGAGATCTTGGCTGCTATTGAGCTCGTATGTAAAATGGCTTGGCAACCTTTGAACAAATACAAACAAATCAGCTCTGTGCAGTRAAAAGAAAAGCTGAACTGTGTTTAAATACAATTAAATCAAGAAAGAAAAGAAGTAACTTGCTTCCAAATGCCCCACTCTTCCCAAAAGCATGTTTGTGAAAAATACTAAGTAAAAAGCTTCAAATGAACTCATATTTGACCTATGTCATGTCAGTGGAAAGCTGTGCTAGTGTTTCAGTTTGATTTGCAAGTTACATGTGTGAGGTGCAGGCTCTAAAACACTACAGCAAAGCGTGGAAATAAATGTGGCTGCTTGGTGGTGTGGAAGCAGAGAACAGGGATGCTGCTCATTCACACAGGTGTCCATTTGCTGGCGGGTGCTGGCAGCAGGAGGAAGGAAGCCAGAACAATGACTCTGAGCCTCCACAGCTTTATGCCGTGGTGCAGTTATTACATACAACTTATCCAAAGGGTTTAGGAAAATCATTACCAAATAAACTAACCTATTCATCTACCTTTCTCCCCTTAAACAAGTGAATGTTTAAATCTGTTCACTAGACCAAGATTACATAGAACTGAATCAGTGTTCATAGGAGTTACAGTACAACCACCTTTATGGAACCATAGTACAACATCTTAAACTGACTGTAGTCTTGAGTATGTAATACATCCTTAGGAGTAACTAGTATAAAAAGTATCAACATCAGTGGTTTGAATATAAAAATTTATTTAAAGTCAGAGTATGCAACAAATAAAACCTACAGAAAACAGATTTTCCCATCACAATCTGTTGCTTACCAAATAATATTGTGAAAACACATTCCTTCAGTCATTATAAAGTTCTTAAAATACAAAAGAAATTAAATTTTGTAAGAAAGTCTAGTAGACCAGAGACTGTTTCTTCCAAGGTGTTTTGCAGAAGCAGGGCTATCCTTCAATACATCCCACGCCATCCTCCTCCACCCATACTGCCTTGCCCATAGTATCCTCCACTATTTCCACTGCCACGACCTGCAAACAATTGACACAAGGTCACGCATACATACCTTAAAAAGAGAAAAAATGGGATGGGTAATATGTAATGAATGAAGATGATGACTTACACTAACAGTACTCCACCACAAGTGCTCTTAACCAGTGTTTGCTGCAGTAGCACAATGTGTAAAGCCCCGAGAGATTKGCAGTTTCAAAAAGCCATTCACTGCCCCTCCTTCCTTTCTCCCAGTCCAAAGCCCACCACCCTTGGCCCCTATCAGAAGACAGAGACTCATCACACTTCCCCCCCAAATATTCAAAAGAGAACTTGTACTTACTGTATCCGCCCAAGCCATCAGGAGTTCCATATCCACCGCTGTAATTGCTACCCATTCCCATTCGACCAACTGAACCGTAACCTTGATCTGGAAAGCCAAAAGTGCACCATTACAAACTTGGAATTCATTATACTTAGCAAAACATCAGCTAAGTGTGCARCTGATGCATACCCATTCCATCTCTGCCGTAGCCTCCCATTCCAGAGCCACCTCCAGCAGTGGAATTCAGGAATAGTTCAATGTATCGATGCTCTGTAAGAAGCAAAAAAACCCCTTGCTTTGTATTTTGTTTCCAGGACCAGAAGCAGAGATACAAAGCAACCCCTCTCCCCTTATATGTAGCAGACAGAAGGCCACAAACAAGCAAGTTTGCTATGTGGTAAATGGTGAAAACCTTAGGATGGTTCTGCTGCTCTCAAGCCCTGCCCGCCCTGCTAATGCCGGGCGAAGTGGCAGCTTCAGGGAACACGACACTCACGCATGTGATTTTTATCCTTGGACATGGCAGCTACCGCATCCTCATGTGTTACAAATTCCACATCTGCCTCTCCTGTAGCTCTTCCATCTGCTCCAATATCAATGTGAACTCTTATAGGATTCAATGGCGAGAAAAACTAAGGGAAAAACAAATTCAAAACCAAATCACGTTGAGGGATAATTTAAGGTACTTTTTTCTCATCCCCTGGTTAGTGGTGCACTGCATCAATTCAATGTCATCCTACCACATAAATTTAACTACCAATTTCTCAAGTACCACMTAGCGGGTATGGAACATTCAACATCAGGTCAACCTACATTTACAATCCATTATTACTATGCAGCTTGGAGAGCTGCAGCTACAGAACTTGAGCTTCCTTTGAAAGCCAAGAGACAAACAACTTCTGCCCACACACAATGCTTTGAGCAATGTAATGCCATCCTGGACAAGAAAATAATTACTTTGTTATAATTTAGCTCTGCTTTTTCAGATTTCTCAAAGGATGCACTCATGGAATTCAAGAGAAGCTGCSTGTCAATCAGACTGCTCTTCCTCACTGCTCCAGATCAAAGCCTGACTTTTGGCCACCGTTGTCAGTGTCTTTACCCTAATCAAAACAATCAACTTGATACAAGAAAATACATCTCAACTTAAGGAAACCAACCCACCCACTAAAGAACAAGCTTAAGAATGGAGTTCTGCWTATACAGTATACAGGTGCAAGTGGCAAGAAAGCCTTTCTCAAAGGATGTGCTATCCTAGGCCTTGTATCCCAAGAAAGCTTTTCCCCCTACAAACAACTCATCTGTACTGACACAAAAATGCGTTCCCAAAATCCTCCAGATATGCTTTTATCTGCCACCCTCATGTCTTAAGAGTAATGGGAAGGATCCAGCCCTCTCCAAGCCAGCTCAGCTCTCTACAGTCTTCCCACCCTGTCTCTCCTGAAATAAAGTCTCAGGTCAACAAGCAAATATGCAAACTAGGCAAYTGGAGTTTCACATCTGCTGTCATTTTCACAAAATCAGGTAAGCTTAAACAAATTCTGAAGGCCTTAAAATGAGGATACTGATTGCAGCTGTCTTTGCAATACACCTTTTATGGAAACGAAAGAGCACACAGTGCTAGGATTAATGTTAAATATAGCTTTGCTGACTTCTCCGGTAATCCCACCTCAGACAGTAGCTTTATAAAAGCTCGTTAACTTTGTGCAACTCACATGAAGGGCCCTGACTTTAGTCARCAATGTACAAGTGACTTGTTTGAGAACTCTCCCCAAGTTTGGACTAGGACAGATAGGGACRTGCACACTGCTGGCATGAGGAAGCCCTTTTCCCCGTGGTACTTACGTTAGCAATATCGTTTTCCGTGGCTCGGAAAGGCAGCCCTCTCATGTGAACAAAATGACCGCCACCATGGAACCCCGACCCTGCATCTCCAGCTCCATAGCCATGTCCTCCCATGCCTATTGGAAAACCCAAACCAAAAAAACCCACACACCTCTAAGATCATGAAAAGCCAGAAGTCATCGCTACTCTTTTTGTGAAAGCACTGAATTGTACCACTGAATGCATGGTGTTTACACTTCCCATGTATCAACCCAAACCTTAACCAGAAGCCCTCCTAAGCAACTATTTACCTTTTCTTCCCATTCCCCAATTCCCTCCCCTTTTCAAACAACYTTCTTTACAAGGTAGCAGAATGAAGCCATAATTTCTGTCTTGGAAATACTGTGACTTGCAATTCAARTAAAAGCAACTGCCTTCTTAGACAAACTATTTCTTTTACCTCTCCCATCCCTCATTCTGTCGTCATAGCCGTCGTTTCCATAGCCATAGTTATTATAGCCACCATAATCATCAAAGCCACCATATCCTGTGCAATGGAGAGAAAGAAAGGAACGATTACATTACTGCTCAGAATTCACAGAGCAATGCACACACAACACTCAATTTTGAAGTCTTTGGGCACCCAGCACTTTGCAAACAGCCTCTGCAGACTGTCAAACCTGGATTTCTGAACACAGTGCAAAAGTACATTTCTTTTTATATAACGGAGACTGAAACATGCAAATTWTGAGATCAGACTCTGCTAAAAGTAGCTGCCTTATTAATTACTTTCATCCTAACTACTTAGCCACATTTTTTATAAACATTACAAGATTTTTCAGATAAAGACATCAAACCTAGCAGGCATAACAGTTACTGCCATTTTCTTATTTCTTGACAAGTATGTCAGAAACATGAAATTGCCAAGAGAACCTGTGTTCATTAGATGAACATACCACCGTCATATCCACCACCTCCTCGACGCATTCTGTCATACATACTTCCACGCCCAGCTCCATAATAACCCCCTCTTCCTCCTAATGGTCTATCATATGGTCCAGGTCGCTGTTGTCCCATCATTCTTCTCGGCATGTCAGAGAATCCTCTGATTTCACTCTTACTACTTTTGAAGATTTCAATGTATCTAATAAGAGAGGATTTTCAAGGTACCAGTAAGAACACAAGTAGAAGCAGTTTGAATTTTACAAAAGGCCATACTACATTTTCTAGAACTAAATGTACAAGCCAATAGCAGTGACTAGAAATACCATACAACTTAAGCTTCTCCTCAAAACTGTAAGAATCTTAAGTGTATTTAAAAAAAAAAAACACTTTACAGTGGCAAAAATTACAATGTGAAATTCWAGCTGTACAAATTAAGTTTAAATCATGTCTTTCCAGTATGAGAAACATACTGTTGAAAAATGTCTGGCTATAGCAGCATTTATGACAAATTACCCTACACAAGAACGATTGAAACAATTTTCTGAGTTTAGCAAACTACMCAGAGCAATACTGTCTCCCCCACCCCCCAAATCTACTGTATTTCCCAAGTTAACTTAGGATCAGTTATAACAGTTCTTAAAAACAGCCAATTCCCCAATGGTCCCCAACCCCCCATAAGCATTACTGACCCACAACCCCCAAAAAATAAAGATTTAACACCATCCCAAGCTCTCCATCCCCACCTGTGCCCTATTCTTTCCTTGTGTTTCCCCAGAGCATTTTCTGCTATCTCCTTTGAAGCAAACTGCACGAAGGCCTCCCCTGTGCTTCTCCCCTGGTAGTCCAGCGTCAATGTTATCCCATTTGGCACGATTTCCAACCCTTTAACCCAAGGACAAATAACCCCGTCAAGGGGAACAGTGTTAAAGGCTGAAACATTCCCATCTGTAGCAAATACTTAAAGCATATCTAAACAACAACAACGAAAAAGAAAACCACCTTGTTTCCCCCATCACCCAACAATACAAGCCCATGATCTTTCATTAAACATTTATGGATTTAGCCATACTTCTTTCTGTTAAGACTATGCAAAAATACAACCACCTAARTTACATGAAGAAAATATATCTCCCAATCAAGCAGTTTAACTGATCCAAATGCTAACATTCAGGTTACCCCAAAATGCATGGTATTTTTCCCACCTCAACAAAATTAGATACATTCTGTGTTCTACTATATCTATRGTTATCTGTGCTTCAATTACAGGGTATAATTCTTACTTAAAACAAACTAATTTAGCACAATCCCTTCCCATCCACCCCATTAACATCTATTAAAAAAAGCATAAAACATTGTGTAAGACAGAAGGAAACTATTAAAAAAACCCACTACACTTTGACTATACTGGAGGTACCTTGGAAAAACTGAACAATCTCTTCTTTGCTGCAACCAAATGGCAGGCCTCGGAGTCGTACCACTGTCCCGTCATTGGTTGTATCATTGGGCCCATTGTGTTTTCCACTCCAGTCCATCTTTTATTTAATTTAAATCCTAAAAAACACAACAAAACAAATTAAAAAAAAATGAGATCCCGTCCATGCCAAAGTCCCTCCCTTAAAAAGAAACCTGGTGAATTTAGCTTATTTAGGCAACTAGCAGGATGGATCATGATGGATTTATTTCTGTTTCGGATTTGAAATAGTTAATCTAAACCCCCCC